TTTGCTTAGCAGTTTCTGCTGTTTTTTCGTAAACTTCTGGAAACATTACGTGTAAGCAATTTGTGGTGCTCTAACATTTTATGCATTGTGCACCTACAATTGGTTATGACCTTGCATAATTTTGTTATGCCCTGAAAAAGTTATGCCCTTGAATTTCTTGCTGAAAATTGGCAACCATAGTGAAAATCAGTAGGTTTGCGAGATCAAAAAAATGTGCAAAAATGAATCTATTCGGCCGAGTAGGGTTTTTAAAAGGCGACAACTATGCATACATTCGGCAATCGTCATGCTTTGAATTTGATTTCACACCAACCATAGCTGAAAGAATTTCAGTAGGATACATCATTCGATACCATTTGGCGTGTTTTCGCGATCATGTTACGGCTAGGATTAGGATTTTCTTAAGCGGAAAAATAGCGTTACCCCAAAGTTGCGGTCGGGACAGCAATGCGAGTTTAGGAACAAGAATAAAAAGCAAAAAATATTAACTTAGACTGTCGAAACAGTCAGTACAAATAAATACAAAAAAAGTTGAAACATTTTTCTGACCTGCTCATGCGGTTCAGTTTTTACTACTTCATATATAATCACTTTATCAATAGGACGAATATAAAAAATCAAAATTAAAGCAAATACTCATTTGAAATCAAACATTCTGACAGGTTTAGAAAATCAAAAGAACGCTACCGTTTATCTTTTTTGCACGATGGTGTCCAAATAACCCATTTCAAAGAACGTAAATCATGTAAACAGGTTAATGGCTCCGCATAATTCTAAAAAGTGAGAAAAATGGTTCCCTATTGTAAAAATTTGCTGCTTACAATTAACAAATTAAAAAGCGGATTTTCAACAAACTGCCATATCTACAAAACGCCATATCTTGAAGCCGAAATTTCAGTAGAATAACGTAAACTTGCATGTTATGTTGCGTAACAATACAAACTTTCGGCTTGTTGGGGTGGTAATCTTATTTTCGGTTTGTGGGCCCTTCGGCTTTCACAAAACACTATAAAATGAACATTTTTTTGTTTAAAACTTCTGCACCGCAAAACAGGTCCAAAATGACGTTTTAGCGGACTCTCTGAATAGTTTTGACCAAAAAATCTTGTTTTACCCCGACTCAAAATTGGTTTATATTGACGCCACACTACAACGCTAAAAGGCGTTCCGACAGTTTTGTAGGGCTGATCAGCCAGAAAGGTCTCTTATTTGACTTCTTCAAAAATATAAGAATTACTTTTATGTCAGATAACTTATCACATTTCGTGTATTCAGCTCTTTACTAATTGACTTCTTCAAAAATAGAAGAATTACTTTTATGTCAAATAAATTATCACATTTCGGGTACTCAGTTTTTTATGACTGATTGCGATCATCAAGACACATCACACACGTATGCCAGCCATTTTCTGAAGTTTGAATTAAGAACGATTAGGCAGATTTGACATTGATGGATGGGGAAAGATTGCTTTAATGTTTACTTCGCCAGTCATAATAACAAACATTTCCAGTATAAAATTGTATGTATTCTTAAATTCTTGCTATTTGATGCTATTTTATGTTTCTAAGTTTTTTTGAGCTTCAAATGTTGATCGAAGTTTATTTTAGAACTTCCGATAACTTATAAACGTTTTTTTTTGCTGTTCTCAAAATTTTCATGCTCCATGTTTTATAGCTGTGCAGCTGTTACGTCCAAATTAATATCAGGCAAGAGATATTGGTACTTCAAGCCTGAGTTTGTATATTTTTTTTGGACGTGATAAGAACACAGCTAAATAATATGGATCACAAAATCTTTGAAAAGAGTAGAAAAAAATCCAAGAGTGAACAAAACTTTCGGAAAAAAACTTCAAATAACTCGTGACGTTTTCAATGAAGCCTTTCTTTCTTGCATGTTAGAAGATTCGGAAATACGGACTTTAAAAAACATAAAAACCATTTTGAGATCTACTCAAAAAATTGAGGTAATGGGAGATACAACTGATTTAATGTTCCGAACCTCATATGACTTGTTTCCGACAATTTTGGAACGAGTGTCACCATGAGTTGATTTAAGGGTTGAGAACCACTATAGTGAATCTAGATAGAGAAAAGTTTTATTTTAAAATATTTTTGGGCAAAGGATGATATGAGAAACCTGCAGGTCATTGGCAAAAGGATCCGAAATTGGGACCTCTTTAAGTATTTTAAATTCAATATAGGGGTGGCAATTCGTTTCTAGGTATCAAATGTAGGTAATGTAGGCATGCATTTCGTGTGTGATTTTTACTCGATTTTCTCAAATATATGTAATTTCTCACTTTGTGGCAATGTAAAGTGGGCCACAGTCAATCACAACGACAGCTGTTAAAACTACCACCGTTTTTGATGGGACATTAAGACAACGTTAAACTATTGCTGTATCGTCCTAATGTCCTATCGTCCTATTTACCTAGCACCTGTAAAAATTTTCTCTTTTCACTTGTTATACTCAAAAATTCGAGTCATTTGTAATCATTGTGAGGCATAATATCAACATATATGGAAGCGAGGAATCGCCTAAATCGTTTTTGTTGATTGTTTGATGGCTCTTAGTACATTGCAAAAAAAACCTTTGAATCAATAGAAGTCAATTTTTTAGACAATATAATTGATATTTTTTGAAAGCTAAAAAGACATTATAAACTATGGGTCTTTTACAAATCCATCGATTTTGCTAGGAAAGCTAATCAAAACGGCGCTGGCAAAAACGAAGCAGTTCCAGTCAGGGGGCGGATCTCTGATTTTCTCGGTGGATTTCGAAAATTTTTCGAAAGCTTTGTCGATCTTTTTTAAGGTTGACCAAATGGATTTTCTGATTTCTCCCAAATCACTCTAAGGGCCGCAGTTTGGTCAAATTTGGCCAAGAAAATTATTTTTAATTGTTTTAGTCAAAAATGGATAACTGGAAATTTTAAAAAAAAAGTACAAAGGAGGGATTCGTGGGGTCGGCAGGGGGTCAAATCCTTGAAAGGAGAGGGGAACCCTCTTTGTAGAACAAAAAACATCAGTTTGTCATCATAACGCAAAATTGGCCCCAAGGATTGGATTTGTTACGCATGTAAAATGTAAAATCCCAATAATTTTTGGCAAGCTAAGTATTGGATTCAGCGTTTTATCTTGAGAACTGCATGTAGTGTAGTGAAAGCCATGGAGTAGTACGTAGCTTGCTTTTGACTAATCAATACGATAAGTTTTAAGTAAGCAAACAGTCGAACTCAGAAAAACCTGTGTCCAGAAACCCAAGTAAAGAAAGACTGGTCTACACGCTCCCAAATCAGAAATACTGAGGCTATCTTTATGAAACCTATAGGATGGATACTCGAGATTTTTGTGCCGAACATGCATAAATAAGACCTCTCGGATCCTCCTGGTCTAAAAGATAACGGTTCCCAGAAGTGCAAATAGCCCTCTTAGACCTCAGTATCCTTAAGGGAATAGTCCTTACTCCGACCTTCTGATGTCATTGAACGAAGGTAGCCAGAACTTTGAGATACAATAGGTAGTTAAAAGGGACATCATGTAGTACATTTTCGCGCAAATACGACGGTTGGACCGCAAATGATAAGCACTTGAGAAAAACACCCCCTTTCACCGGAAATCGGGACTTTACTCAAATTAATCAGCGATGACTTAATGCGTTTATTGCATTTAAACAGATACTAAGCACAAAAAAGGGCCTTGTGAATGGAGTCCTTCCGTCAACTCATTCCACTGATAATAGACTTCTAACGGAAAAATTATGAAGGACATCAAAAATGGGATAACTTTGGAACACAAGGTTTTATAAAATCTCCCAGGGCATCCTATATCGAGACAAAACATTGACCCCATTGATCCTTGGGTGGTCTTTAATTGATTTTTAGGCGCTTAGGGTTAAAATAGCTTAAAAAAACTCAGGATTTACACCGGGAAGCTTCCCATTCCCCAGCCCAACCCTCGGAAAGGAGAGTCGGTCTGCTTACTTGTAATTGGGCAAATTTTTTTCCTTTGAGAAAACAAGGAGAATATAAAGTAAAATAGCTGTTGAGTTGCACCCTTGAAGTAGTGGATTGACTTACAGTGACACTAGGCAAACATTGGTTGAACTTAGCTTTGGCTGTTGGAATTTCA